TCCCCCACCACCAGGCCCCCCCCAAAAAATTCCCATTTTTCCTTCAAAATTCCCATTCTTTCCTTCAAAATTCCAATTTTTTCCTTCAGAATTCCCATTTTTCCCCTCCAAAATTCCCTTTTTTTCCCCAAAATTCCCCAAAATTCCCATTTCCCCCCCAAATTCCCATTTTTCCTTCTAAATTCCCCTTTTTCCCCCCAAAATTCCCATTTTTTCCCCCAAAATTCCCAATTTTTCATCAAAATTACAGATTTTTCCCCATAATTCCCTGTTTTCCCTTCAAATTCCCAATTTTTTCCCCCCAAATTCCCAATTTTTCCCCAAAATTCCCTGTTTTCCCCCCCAAAATTCCGTTTTCCCCCCCAAAATTCCGTTTTCCCCCCCAAAATTCCGTTTTCCCCCCCAAAATTCCGTTTTCCCCCCCAAAATTCCGTTTTCCCCCCCAAAATTCCGTTTTCCCCCCCAAAATTCCGTTTTCCCCCCCAAAATTCCGTTTTCCCCCCCAAAATTCCGTTTTCCCCCCCAAAATTCCGTTTTCCCCCCCAAAATTCCGTTTTCCCCCCCAAAATTCCGTTTTCCCCCCCAAAATTCCGTTTTCCCCCCCAAAATTCCGTTTTCCCCCCCAAAATTCCGTTTTCCCCCCCAAAATTCCGTTTTCCCCCCCAAAATTCCGTTTTCCCCCCCAAAATTCCGTTTTCCCCCCCAAAATTCCGTTTTCCCCCCCAAAATTCCGTTTTCCCCCCCAAAATTCCGTTTTCCCCCCCAAAATTCCGTTTTCCCCCCCAAAATTCCGTTTTCCCCCCCAAAATTCCGTTTTCCCCCCCAAAATTCCGTTTTCCCCCCCAAAATTCCGTTTTCCCCCCCAAAATTCCGTTTTCCCCCCCAAAATTCCGTTTTCCCCCCCAAAATTCCGTTTTCCCCCCCAAAATTCCGTTTTCCCCCCCAAAATTCCGTTTTCCCCCCCAAAATTCCGTTTTCCCCCCCAAAATTCCGTTTTCCCCCCCAAAATTCCGTTTTCCCCCCCAAAATTCCGTTTTCCCCCCCAAAATTCCGTTTTCCCCCCCAAAATTCCGTTTTCCCCCCCAAAATTCCGTTTTCCCCCCCAAAATTCCGTTTTCCCCCCCAAAATTCCGTTTTCCCCCCCAAAATTCCGTTTTCCCCCCCAAAATTCCGTTTTCCCCCCCAAAATTCCGTTTTCCCCCCCAAAATTCCGTTTTCCCCCCCAAAATTCCGTTTTCCCCCCCAAAATTCCGTTTTCCCCCCCAAAATTCCGTTTTCCCCCCCAAAATTCCGTTTTCCCCCCCAAAATTCCGTTTTCCCCCCCAAAATTCCGTTTTCCCCCCCAAAATTCCGTTTTCCCCCCCAAAATTCCGTTTTCCCCCCCAAAATTCCGTTTTCCCCCCCAAAATTCCGTTTTCCCCCCCAAAATTCCGTTTTCCCCCCCAAAATTCCGTTTTCCCCCCCAAAATTCCGTTTTCCCCCCCAAAATTCCGTTTTCCCCCCCAAAATTCCGTTTTCCCCCCCAAAATTCCGTTTTCCCCCCCAAAATTCCGTTTTCCCCCCCAAAATTCCGTTTTCCCCCCCAAAATTCCGTTTTCCCCCCCAAAATTCCGTTTTCCCCCCCAAAATTCCGTTTTCCCCCCCAAAATTCCGTTTTCCCCCCCAAAATTCCGTTTTCCCCCCCAAAATTCCGTTTTCCCCCCCAAAATTCCGTTTTCCCCCCCAAAATTCCGTTTTCCCCCCCAAAATTCCGTTTTCCCCCCCAAAATTCCGTTTTCCCCCCCAAAATTCCGTTTTCCCCCCCAAAATTCCGTTTTCCCCCCCAAAATTCCGTTTTCCCCCCCAAAATTCCGTTTTCCCCCCCAAAATTCCGTTTTCCCCCCCAAAATTCCGTTTTCCCCCCCAAAATTCCGTTTTCCCCCCCAAAATTCCGTTTTCCCCCCCAAAATTCCGTTTTCCCCCCCAAAATTCCGTTTTCCCCCCCAAAATTCCGTTTTCCCCCCCAAAATTCCGTTTTCCCCCCCAAAATTCCGTTTTCCCCCCCAAAATTCCGTTTTCCCCCCCAAAATTCCGTTTTCCCCCCCAAAATTCCGTTTTCCCCCCCAAAATTCCGTTTTCCCCCCCAAAATTCCGTTTTCCCCCCCAAAATTCCGTTTTCCCCCCCAAAATTCCGTTTTCCCCCCCAAAATTCCGTTTTCCCCCCCAAAATTCCGTTTTCCCCCCCAAAATTCCGTTTTCCCCCCCAAAATTCCGTTTTCCCCCCCAAAATTCCGTTTTCCCCCCCAAAATTCCGTTTTCCCCCCCAAAATTCCGTTTTCCCCCCCAAAATTCCGTTTTCCCCCCCAAAATTCCGTTTTCCCCCCCAAAATTCCGTTTTCCCCCCCAAAATTCCGTTTTCCCCCCCAAAATTCCGTTTTCCCCCCCAAAATTCCGTTTTCCCCCCCAAAATTCCGTTTTCCCCCCCAAAATTCCGTTTTCCCCCCCAAAATTCCGTTTTCCCCCCCAAAATTCCGTTTTCCCCCCCAAAATTCCGTTTTCCCCCCCAAAATTCCGTTTTCCCCCCCAAAATTCCGTTTTCCCCCCCAAAATTCCGTTTTCCCCCCCAAAATTCCGTTTTCCCCCCCAAAATTCCGTTTTCCCCCCCAAAATTCCGTTTTCCCCCCCAAAATTCCGTTTTCCCCCCCAAAATTCCGTTTTCCCCCCCAAAATTCCCATTTTTCCCCCCCAAATTCCCATTTTTCCTTCAAAATTCCCATTCTTTCCTTCAAAATTCCAATTTTTTCCTTCAGAATTCCCATTTTTCCCCTCCAAAATTCCCTTTTTTTCCCCAAAATTCCCCAAAATTCCCATTTCCCCCCCAAATTCCCATTTTTCCTTCTAAATTCC